ACAGTTTTCTAGAAGCACATAAATATATACAGTAAAACCATAAGTGATCCTGAGCAGAAATTTTCAGAAAAATATATTTTAAAACGAATTCACAACAGGAATTCTAGTTGCTACCATTCAGTCATCCAAATCATCTACGCAGCTGCCATCGTATGGCAGATGAGGTCGATATCGTTGCCGTTCTTCTTGAACACTGCCTGTTGAGTAGGATCGGCGGGGAAGATATGTACGGCACGAGTTTTGCCACCAAGACAGACGTTCATTGACGGCGATACAATCACCATGGGTGGTCGCATACCCATCCTAGAAGAAAGAACGATGGGAAAATGACAGTGCTTTGGGTGGGGGTAATCTTGTAAATGCAAAAATCAGGCGGCCATCAATTACACCAGTATTCTAGATGTGTGACATTGGGTCTGAGTTCTACAAAGTACATAGCATTTTACATTTTGTTTGTTATCTATCGAGGTAACCAAGGGCTTTATAGAGTGGATCCGTACCTTTCATATTGAGCCAGAAGGGTGCCAACGAGTTCACCGACTCGTTCTTCTTCTCGGGCATTTTTGGCACAACCAACGATATCATTTTCAGCCACATGAATCACGAACAAGCCATTAGGCTCTGGGCAAATGGAGATTCGTGACACCTGAATCAAATGATATTTCAATTTTCTGTGATCGAATCCGTGGTGGAGCCAGTTTTAAGAGCTGTTACTCGTGGATACACACCTATACGAGTAAGATTCCTACTGACTGCCACTAAATTACTCACATTTTGCAGTGGAATCGGTTCCTTGAGTAGCTTGAAAGTGACTGCATCGAATTTAGCAATGAATTTATCGGTGATGACCAGCGCTCGAAGAGATGATTTATTGAAACGATTGAATTTCTGCAAAAAAAATGAAGCACTCAGACTTTCCATTTACTCGTACTACCTATAAGTAGGGCATGTTTCAGGAATCGTACAGAGGTTGAATATAGTAGGAGTGTGAGAGAATGAGCAAAAACAACAACAAAAAGGATTTGTGATTTGAACTGCACCAGCTCATGAAACCACTTGAGTTTATACTTCGCACGCCTCGTCCAAACAAAAGAAGCTTAAGGATTTTTTTTGTTTTTTACTCTTCTATTAGGTTGTAAGCCTAAGGGAGTTTTTTTGTTTCCCACTCTTCATTAGGTTGTTTGGGAAAATTTTGGCGAAGAATTCGCATGGTTCGAAAGTCAAGGTTTTCTCAGTGTGTTCCGGAATTACTATCGAATTGCTCTTTTAGGACTGCCCTTATGCGTGTGCATGAAAACCCAGCTTCCCCTTCCTTGCTTATTTAACACTATAATGACCGAACTGTCCTCCGTATTCAACACAGACTTCTACCCACGTTCGGATCCGGCCACCCTGCTGCTGAAGCTCATCAAAACTTGTGCCAGGTAATTGGCCGTGAAGCTTCATCTGGACGGTTCTGTGCCTGTCCCGTTCGAACGGTTCAAAGACGGAAAGAAGATGGTCGAACATGAGCTTCGATCCGACCGACCTGGTCAGCCGACTGCGAAATATGGAATCCCTGAATACTTATGTCCATACAGATGGGCAGGCGCCCTTTCAGAGCTCTTCTACGATACATTCGGAATATTCCAGAAAAATCTAGACTTTAAAAAAAAAACCCTGCGGATTATGTCCGACCACCCCAGTATCTACTTTTACTCCAACTCGAACGAGACACAGTCGTCATCAGGCTGGCTTAGACTCCCTACCATACCAAGTGCTTTACTCGTTGCTGGCTTGGACTTCCTACCATACCAAGTGCTTTACCCATTATGGTAACTAGACAACACTTAGATGAGAATGGAACTGAATTTACCTGAAAGAACGTACTGAACAGTACTTTGGTGAATGGATTTGTTGTTCGCAGTGCTGCTATCGCGTTACGATATTTGAGTGGGCTATAACTGGGCTCTTCACTCTGAAACAGGAAATTTCTAGAAATCTCGAAAAAAATTTCCAAAAGGCACCGTAATAACCAAGTAGGTCCATTATCAAAATTGATTTCAGTCGGTATGAGGATCTCTAGAGGTATTCAGTGCTTACCTGAGCCAAATAATCGCCCTTCCATGGTCGCGTATATCCCCAACGTTCTCGTTTACCATTGAGAGCTGTGAATGCGGCAAGTTTTTCCGGTAACGATTCCCTGAAGATGAAGGAAACGGTAGCAAGGTCCATTAAGCAAAGTTATGAGGGCAAAGCAAAATGGGGCTCAGATGGCCGGCCAAATACCTCAGATGTTGTGGCATGGTGGCAAGAATTGCAGCGGCTCGCCAACGTTGATGCATCACTTTCAGTTTACCCACGAACGGCGCCAACACAACCGGTGGTGTAGGCCACTGGACACTTTTTCCAAGATCAGGCATTTTACGGACGCCACTGAAACGACGAGAACTATAGAGAATAAGTGTTTTTTAGCGAGGACCTGATATTTAGGGTGCCAAAATCGTGATTAAAAAGTAGGAGAGAAAATATTCGTCATGTTTTCGTCAGCGAAAGGAAAACATTTCATCATTTGGAATTCATTTGACTCATCTCCCGTCTTTCGTCTGTTCCTTCGTCAGGTAAACAGCACTGAAGAAGTCTGGTCTGGCAGCACAGAAACGAGAAGAAATACGAGTCATGCACGGGTGTGTGTCATTAGGTCCATTAGGCCATGATTCTGGTAAGACGCATGTTCCACTACGAGCATGCTCCCAAATTCATAATCCGAGCCATGTACCAGGAGCAGGCGTAGGGGAAAGAAATAGCGAATCCTATGAGTAAGGAATAACTGGAAATTTTCAATTCCATCGTTTTCCACTGGATGCGAGGCCATGGTTGAATTCCGGGGCCAAAACCCGACCTTCTATTCAGGGTAATTATTCGGAGTGCTGGGATGGTTCTGGATCAGGTCTTCCAATCTTGAGTGAGCCCTCAGCCCTCGTTCCATAAGGCCAACGAAGCACAGCACCTCTACAGGTTGTGTGCTATTAGGTCCGTTTTCTGGTCCCATCGAGTATGCTCTTTGACGAGCAGAAGGGAAGAGCCAGTAAAGGTTCAAATCGGAGTGAAAGCCTAAACGTAACTAAAAAGAGAAAGGCATCTAAGGCTCAGCGAAAAACGAAATTCACTCGAATGGGATTGACTATAGGAGGTATAGAAGTAAGGACAACCGGAGGACAATCCCACTGTTGGTGGTGAAAGGCATAGGAATAGAAAAACGTCATATGAGTGACAAGTTACAGACAACTGGAGACGGCATCAAATGGCGGAAAGTACACGCCTACGGCTTTTTAGGTAGTCGAGAGTGACAGGAGGGGCTGTCATGAGTAGGAGGAAGAAAAATCGGTTGAAATATGTGACAATAAACACTGGTAGGCGGACATGTCTCCTAGTCTTCACGCATAGTTAGCCATAACTGCTGGACTGTCCTTTTGAATCAAAGTGCGTAGG